GCGGAGAGCTCTCTAGTGAGCAGGGGAGCCAGATCAGGCTGGTGAAAGCAGAAGGGGGGGGGGGGGGGGGGGGGTCCCCTACAAACTTCCCCAGCCCAGAGAGCTGCTGTCAGAGAGGGCTGAAAGCAATAGAGCCTAGTGGATCCTTGACTCAAAAAGCTGGAGCCAGAGGCCAAGGAGGGCTAAAGGCTGGGGAATGGTGGAAGAGTGAACCCACCCATGTCTCCAGGGGAGAGCTGGAGCTAGGCCTGAGAATATAACAGGGCAGAGAAGCACCCCAGCTAGAGGGGCTAGGGTGAGGCATGGTGAGAGACACTGGAGCTGTACCAGAGAGCTGGGGAATGGTGAGAGATGCTGGAGCTGTATCTGGCCTCCCGATGGACTGTTGGGAGTTGAGAATGAGTAAATGTACCGTTCGGTCAGTGCTGGGGAAATCTGGATTATGGTTGTGGGATTTCTTATAATAAATTACTCCCGAAAAGGGCTTGCGTGGAGTTCCCGGGGTCTCTGGAAGAAAGGGGAAACCGAGGCAAGCATGCTTGTAATGCCACAGCTGGAGGGTAGTCGAAGTGGGGGTTGCCTTATCACATACAGTGGAGACTGAAGGCAGGCGATTAGCCCCTGGAAGAGGGGAACTGCAAGTGCCCAGAAGAGGGAAACTAAGGCAGGGGGCTGCTTGCAGGGTCATCTGAGGACAGGATGACTGAGAAATGGGGAGGGAGGCCCAGGATGTCCGTGGCCCTTTCTGGGTGAACTGCTGTCAACTGCTCAGGTTTGAATCCTAGCATCCCATTTTCGGGCCCACAATCCAGCCCTCCAGCCAGGACCTTCTCTTCCCCACCCTTTGAACTGCAGCATGCGGGGAAGGTGCTGGCAACAACTGGGTGGGGGAGAGGGGGGACCCACAACCCATATCTTTTGCAACAGTTCTAGGGTGAGTTTAGTGCCCGTTCCCACTCACCCCAGCCCCGCCTTCCCCTTCCCTTCATTGCTTAAATTCTCTTCTAAAACACACCTAACAAGCTCGGGGCCCCAGAAGAAAGGGGAGGAAGGGGAGGCATTTGGGCTTGTCAATCAAATGTCACCTCTTCACCTTCCAAACTGGTTCTAGCAGCTGCATTAATACATAGCCGGTTGGAAGCAGGCCGGGTCAGAGAGCCTGCTGCAGCGGGGGTGGTGGTGGTGGGGGAGCGCTGACCCCAGGCGAGCAGAAGTTCTTACTGGTGATAAGCCGGGAGGAGGTGGGAACAAGGGCAAGGGATTGAGCAGCAGATCCCAACATGAAAGGTATCAAGAGATGCCAGTCCTAGATACCGCCGTCCGCACGGGCTCCAGAACGACCGAAATAGAGCAGCTGCGGCTCCCAAACTGGGTCGTCGTCACTCACAGGAACTTGGAAGTGGGTCGGAAGAAGCCCGTGACCAACCTGCAGTGAGCACACCCCCCTTGGGGGTTGCCTGAGCCGAGCGGCTCGGGGTCTGATGTGGAGGAAGAAGGGAAAAGTGGCTTTCCTGTCCACCTGATGTCCACGGGTAACTGGCATGTGTGTGGCAGGCGCGGGGGAAGTGGAGCACCGAGGTGCTCCGATACCACTGCAAGCGCCTGTGCAGAACAGATTGCAGTTCCTGAGTGTCAAGTGTTTGGCCAGCAGCCCCTCCTAGCAGCAAAGTCCACTGGGACTCTAGCTCACAGGCTACGTGTCATAAGCAGCTTCAAATTTTTTGAGTTTCATGGGATATGTACGGCTGCCGAGTCCCTCCTTGAACTGCTGCGATTTTTCCAGCACTCGGGCCTGTTCCTGGGGGGGTTCGTGGGCTGACCCCATCCCAACGGAGTTGGGGGGGGACAGGGGACAGGGGCTAGCCATGCTTATCCGAGAGGGTGTGTCTCTCACCACACAGTACTAGCTGTCCTGGCTTAGCCCAGCCCAGAGCAGGGATTGGGGCTCCGTGCGCAGCACGGAATTGGGCTAATTTCACGATTTCCGTGAAATCGTGATTTACACAGGGCCTTATTCGGAGTATGGGCCCCACATCTTGAGAGGCTCTCTCGTGGGACTTCCCCCCCTCCCCACTGGCTGCCATGCAGTTCCCCCACCCTCCCCACTGGTGATCTTTTTAAAGCTTCCTTTAATATGATTTAGCCACTAAGAAAGGAGGAGGAAGAGCCAGCATCGTATGGGCCAACCAGCTCTCCATAAGCCACACTTAAGTGCTCCACGGACCACAGTCCTAATTAATCTCACTCATGGCAGGCACCCGAGCTGGGCACAGGGCTTCACAGCACAGGTGCTGGGTGCTGCGCCCCTTCTCAAGGCACTGATCTAAACTTAAAGGAGGGCGCGAGAGAGAACTAGAAAGAAAAAGGGGGAGGGAATAATATTTAATAATATATGGAGATATACCTATCTCACAGAACTGGAAGGGACCTTGAAAGGTCATTGAGTCCAGCCCCCTGCCTTCACTAGCAGGACCAAGTACTGATTTTTGCCCCAGATGCCTAAGTGGCCCCCTCAGAGATTGAACTCATAACCCTGGGTTTAGCAGGCCAACGCTCAAACCACTGAGCTATCCCTCCCCCCAAAGGAAGGGGACACTGGTAGCCAAAATACTTCTAAAAATCAGACCGTGGCGAAGTTATCAGGCTTTGCAGAGACATGAGGAACGTATCAATCATCTCTATCCAACCATTATTTACAGCTGACATTAGTAACCCATAATTACCATGCCAAGGACCGGGTGGGCTAGGAGAGCTGGCCAAGAGGACTTCTGTTATGTTAGAACGCCCCCTGTGATTTGGGATAATGCTGGATGTCAAGTCCTGGGCATTTGCTCTGGAAACGAGTTTCGCCCCAGACAAGTTAAGAGCCAGAAAAAATGGGGGGATCCTGAAAATGTCAGAGCCCCCCTATAGCCCACCCCCATATCCAGGCAGAGGGCAGACATCACCCCAGAATAGTTTCCAGGGGTTTGACCCTGCAATGCTGGCCCAGGGGGGTGAGCTGTAGTCAGCACCTGGGAATGGAATGTAAAGCTATTGTACATTCCATGTTAACCCTGCAACGTTCGCCTCTAAGTGGAAATGCATTCAGCACGAGCCCTCCCTGGACATCTGCAGAAAATCTCTTCCACCTAAACCAACTCTCCTTGATGCCCTCCGTCACCATGAAAGCAGGTAACCTCAGCTGGCCAGAGCAGGGAAGCCTGCCTCTCCAAGGAGGCTCCATGCTAGACTGGTCTTAGCCAAAGTGACCCTGCGATAGCTGAGGGCCGGGTTACCAGGAGGGGAAAATCGGGCAGAAGATTTTCCTCGCTCTCTGGTCCTGCTGGAGGCAGAGCACGTGTGGGGCATGGGGAGAGGAGATCTCAGTTCCAGCTGGTGGTGAGTTACCTCCTACTTTGGTCCCAGCCTTGTAGGGGGAGACTGAGCCAGGCAGGGAGCAGCTGAAATAAAGCATGGGCCCCTGACTGCTAAGTAGCTGCTCACGCCCAGCACTGTTAGGCATTTCTGGCAACCTTCCTGGGAGAGAGCTGCAGTAACCTATTCTCGTCTGTAGGAGGCGCTTGGCCTCAAAAACCTCCATTTACACTTTTTAACCCTGCGAGTGAATGAGGCCCCCCCGAGTCCTTTTAACTTGCCCGAGGCCATGTCAACCGCAGACTATAACCCCCTCCCCATCACGAAAGGAGCGGCTCCAACCGGGGGCTGATGGGAGCCTAACTCTTCCAGGGACTGCGGCTGAGGGTATTTGATGTGTGCCCTCTCCCAGCTCCCCTTTTCAAACAGAGCCGGACATGTGTTCATTAGGATTTGTGCTGCCAGGGTGCTGCAAAGAACAACCCATGCCTAAAGCAGGAAGGGTTGGAGTTTGGAGAGCAAGGTGGCTTGATTATTCACAGCAACCTGTGCTTCTTTTATGCAACAGGTGACCTGTTATATGTTTCCAGGTATATCT